TATGAGACTGACAGCAAGACGACAGAAAACTAAATAATAAAAGCTTACAAAAACCTTAGGCTAACCCTCTTATTTATAGTGTTCAGAGGTTGCCTGTCCAATAAAGAAACAAACAATAAAAATAGAAAATTATAAAAGAAAAGGAAACAAAATAAAATTACACATAAATTTGGAGAAATCATATATGAAATTTGGGGAAGAAATCTGGCCAATTTACTCGGATTTGGAAGGAGAAATTCAGACTATGCACTAAGTGGACACGTGTCGCTATGGGATTGGTTGATCAGAATTGATTTGCCACGTGTTGCAGTCTGAGTGCTTGGCGGCTGCTGGTGATGTGCAGAGTGGAGGACAGCTGTCGCGCGCGGAGAGAGGCTTGGGCTAGCATGCTGACACGCGGGACCCACGCGGAGGGAAGCTGCGGACGCGCGGTGATGACTGCGTGGAAGGAACGCACGCTCTGAGGAGCTGGGTGCTACTAACGCGCGAGGCGCGCGATGGCAGGAAGAAGCATACGTGGATTTTCGCGCTGACTGGTGCAGTGGCTTGGCTTGGTGGCTTGACTCGGCTTGGCTGAAAGGCTTGGCTCGGGTGGTTGAAAACATGACTTTCATGGCTTATTTTTATGTAGCTTTTCACACTACTTTTTATCTGTAAATAATTAAGCAAAAATTAGACAAATTCTAATTAAAAATATTATGAATAAAAATAATGAAATTACTTAATTAAAGCTTAAATATTTTAATATTATATAAATCAAAAGCAGTATTTAGGCTGCATTTTTATGCACTAATCACATCGCAAAAGTCGATGAGAGAAGAATGGGATTAGAGTGAAGGAGGAATGTTGGAAAGTACAGAGAAAGTAATGAGGATGTTACTGTAAGAGTGTGAATGTGTCAGTGTGCCATAGAAGATCCTTGAAGATGTCTAGATGGCTTGTATTTATAGTTTATGAGGCTCCACTATTTTTTTTTTATTTCTCTGGGGATTCGACATTCAATTCGTGCTCAAAGTTTACTTTCTAGTGATATTTGACTATTCTTTGATGATTCACCTTCCCATTCACTATTCAAACTTGTTCCATTGCCCAATTTCGAGATGATCTTGCTCATTTTTTAGGGATTCATGAGGATTTGGTTTCCTTATTTGAAAGACAACTAATCTCGCTCGTTGGACGTGTTGCTTAAGTCAATTGTTGACATTTTTCCTTTTTAATTACACTAGCTTGACTGACTGATTTCTTTCCTAGAAAAATCTTGTTTTAGTAATGGATTACAGATATTAATTCTCTCAGTATTTATTGCATTAAGCAAAATGTCGTCTCATAGGATTGGTAGTGCAAATAACTCTCCAATGAGTCTATCTAGCCTGCCTGAGGAGTCCTAATGACTCGTTTAGTGATATATTGGAGCCTATGTTGCCAGTTGTCCAGCGAATGATGAGGTACAAAATGTTACTTCAACAGTCATCATGTGTGAACACAACACACTAAGACCATGTTTAGTAGCTTGTATTATATTGTATAAGGTATACTATATTGTGTTGTATTATTATAATACAATACGTCGTATTTGGTGTCATGACTCTTGACTATTGTACAAGTCAAAATGTAAAATTTTTAAAATTTTTAACGTTAAAATGTAATTTTTTAAAAATTATGGGGTTAAAAAATAATTTTTTAAAAATTTTAGGGTCAAAATTAGTTTTTAGAAATATTAATTTGCATTACGCCCCCTAATTTTTAAACAATTATAGTTCCGACATGACTCTATCTCGGCCCGACCCTGACCCCAATGCCGAGCCCTTTCGTGCCCAACCCTGACCCCGACCCCTTTCGTGGCCAACTCTGACCCCTTTCGTGCCCAACCCTGACATAAATCATGGATTCGCTATTGAATAATACAATATAATACACAAAAAATAGGTCGTACTCAATAATACGACATACACTTTATTAATTTACCATCCATATTAGTTTATATAATACGATGGTCACACCAAATATTATATTAACGTATTATCATACAAACGGTGCTTTAATACGGTAAAATAAATGATGAAACCACGAGTCGTGTGGAAATGGAGTATAATTATCATTCCATAAGTTAACAAAAGAAAAAAAAAATCATAGCAAAAGGGGTCGATTAACTACTATAGGTTAATGGGTGGTTCTGTGTGTACCCCTTTAGATTAAAAATTTTAAAAGGGAAACTAACGGGTTCTTTTTTTTTTTTTTTTTTTTGTCTCTACACACCCCTCAATATCATATTGTCAAATTATAAATTATTTCTATTTCAAAAATTTATAGGAAAACCCTAAATTCTACATCTCAATCACTATTCTAAGAAATTAAATGGAAGTATGTTAAATTTTCTTTGTTATTGTATTTCGTTTTGTGTTTATATTTGTTTACTAATCAATTTCTTAAGCTAATCAATTTATTTATTTTTTTGTCATTTTTTGTGATGTGAGATTATGGTTTCCCTTTTGTCTAGTCTCTCTATATCTCTTCTGTAAAGATGGTGCTTGTGATCGTGGGTTTTTTGCTCAAACAGTTGTGCACATGGTTGTATATATATCTTGCTGCACTTGTCCACTATGCAATCTGAGGGCTGACCAAAATGCAACTCACCATTTGTTTTTCTTTTTTTTAGGTTTTTTCATTTACTCTTTTATTTATTATTTTTAGTTTTTTGTAATTGTTTAATTTATTCTTTTTGTTTGCTTTGTATTTGGACGTTTTCAAAAGTTGTTCATAATAAAAAAAGGACAGTAAATAAAAAAAATAAAGAGATATAAATGAAAGATAGAAGAGGGTGTGGAGAGTAAAAAGGTAGGTGTGGAGAAAAAATTGGAGGTGTAAATAAACCATCCTTAATAATTTCATTAAAATATTAGGGGTAATTTTGGAATAATAAGAGTGTGTAAAAAGAAAATTTAATCATTTAAAAATTATATAGGAGTCTGTAATTAGAAAGAGGTGGAGAGCAAAAAAAGGGTGTGAATAGAACCACCCTAGGTTAATTCAAACTCTGGAAAAAGTGCCTTAAAAGATGAAGATTTGAATTTCAAAGGATATATTGTTATCCAAATTTAGTGCTTCAATTTTAGATATAAGATTTCAAGATATTTCTTTCTCTCGTGACCTTAACACACAAATACAAGTCACTTTTTTTGTTGCAAGTTTAGTATAGTGGTAATTCATATGCATCTTTAATGTTGAGGCTCAAAATTCAAATTTCTCTATCTAATTGGAGAAAAAATTACAAACTTTTTACCTTAATTTTTATCTGTAAGGTCTTCTTTAAAGGGGGAATAAATCTTTGCCTGGAAGGTGCGAAAAAAACATATATGCCGGGAAGGAGGGAAATAGTTGTCGTTTTGTTTTATTGGCCCATAAAGAAAAATGTTGATCATGATACGACACGAAGTCACAATGAAATGATAGATTATGGGAAAAAAATTTTAAAGTAGGGAGACAATGAATGATGATTGTATTGTCACCACCAATAATGTTTTGTATACATAGGGTGGAATATTGAGCATAAAATCAAAAAGGAATATTTGGGTAATTTATTATGATATGAAGTGTATTAATTTTTCATGGTTTCTCATACATAGTATCAAAGTCTCCCATGCTCCAGTCCCATATGTGACTTGAGAGAAAACTGAGCAATCATTCGTTGAGTCCGTGCAGGGATACCCATACTCATTCCACGAGAATGCACATAAAAAGACTTTTTAGATTATTCTCAGCGATGCCCCATAATTTTAGCGTTATTGTCATTTTAATGTCTGAATTTTAAAAACTCACACTTTATCTTTTAAATTTTAAATTAGACACAAATAATTTACTCTATTAAAATTTTAGTTAGAAACAATCGAAAGAAAATCTGATTACCCACTCAACCACTTATATTTCCTTTTTCTTTTCAACCGATTTTTTTAATAGAGAGAGTTAAGTACAACTAATTTAAAGTTTTATTCATGAAACGAAGTAAGAATGATCCTAAAATTGAAAAGGTATTAGCGAGAATGATCTAAGACTTTTTTGTTGTGAAAAACTATTATTGGTCGTAGTATAGATGTTTCTAAAGGAATTAAATATCATGTAAATTTTTAGTGTACGTTTAACCAGTCGATTTATAACATATCAATTCATGAACCGAGACATTGAAGCTTTAAAAAATAAGCTAACATTTTTAAAGTTTTTAAATAGCGTGATATTAAATTGTTAGTTACACCGTTTGATACATTAAAATCAGACAGGAGATGCGAGTCTGTGACTACATATTAACTAACATTAAAACTATACTTATATTAATTCATAGTACGTGAATATCATGAAATCTCATTAATAAAAAAAAAAAAAATTTTGGTAAGAAAATCTCATAAAAGCTTGATACTTGAAAAATTTATACCATCACTATTTCTCAATTTGTGTATGTATATATCTATTTATGTATGGTAACGGATCTCAACAGTTACTTCACTTTTGGGACGGCAATTATTATATTAGTATCTTACCAAAATCAAAAAATAAATGTCTGATAGATTACAATTACTAGGATTTTCTTTAATCGTACTGCAATATTCCTGTATGTAGGAACAAACATCTGAATACAGAAAAACATATGATATACATATATAGTTAGTAACATATTCTAATTGCTTTTATAACAAAAAACTACAGTTAGACCTTAGTTCCAAGAGGATTATATACACACACATAGCTAGCTTTTAATTTGCTTTTAATTTCCATGTTTACTTTCCCGTTTTATGCCATAAAGGACATGAGGAAATGCAGAGTTTTGGCAACAAGAAAAAATTTACCAAGTACTTAAAGTACTACTCCAGATCAGAATTAATACTCATGATATATTTGCACATCAAATTAATATTTTTCTTTATATAAAATATGTCAATAAGAAATTGAGATGCTGAAAATCGCATCCACCTTGTAAAGCATCAAAGGAATTTCTGCATGGAATTGATGACTCAAAGTCTCAAGGACAAGTCAATCTGGGCATTAATATCCTCCTGATGAACACCATTCTGGTGATCAACTCTATATCCATTACTCGACCAAGAACCAAACCTACCATGATCATAAAATCCTTGGTCATGTTCAACCCAACCACGAGCCTGACCCAGTCCCACCGGAGAGTGGCTCGGGCCTCCTCCGGTCGACTGGGCTCGGACGACGACGGAAGTCAGCTCTCTGCTCTTCTTGGCCAGCGTTCTCTCCAGCTTGTGGGCGTTTTGGTGGCCTCCGAGGGCTTGGGAGCTGTAAAACTTTCTCTGGCAGTAGTTGCAGGAGAAAACTTTCGTCGGTTCAGACGGCGAGGACGGAGACGACGACGGATCGAGGACGAGATCTAAGTTGAGCTGGTTGGTGGGCGGGCTCAGGTGTAAAGAAGTATTGGGTTGGAAATCCATGTTTTTAGAGAGAGAGAGAGAGAGAGAGAGAGAGATGGAGAGTTATATGATGAATAAGTTTCTGAAGTGGGGAAGAGCTGGGGGTTGTGTTAGAGCATTATATGGAGTTATGAAGTGAGCCACTGTTTTTCTGAGACTACAAATATAGTAAAAGGGAAGTGAAATGGAGATGGACTTGATTGTGCTATGTGTAAGAGAGAGAGAGAGAGAAACAGTGCTATGTGTAAGAGAGAGAGAGAGAGAGAGAGAGAGCTATGTGTAAGAGAGAGAGAGAGAGAGAGAGAGAGCTATGTGTAAGAGAGAGAGAGAGAGAAACAGTGCTATGTGAGAGAGAGAGAGAGAGAAACAGTGCTATGTGTAAGAGAGAGAGGGAGAGAGAGCGAGAGATAGAGATAGAGAGAGAGAGAGAGAGAAACAGTTTGCTGCAAAAGATCAGCAGGGAATCCATATGTTGTCGCCCCCATTAATGGCAGCATTAGAATCCCTTGTCGGTCCATTCATAAACAAATTCAAAAAAATAATTTAAACAGACATCTAATAGACTCTGTTTGTAAAAGTAAATATATACAAAATGAAAATTCTCTTATATTAAAATTTAGGTTTGATATTCTCTATTTTTAAAAATTTCATGCTGGTATTTCTTGACTTTTTAGAAATTTATTTTTGTATTTCAGAGCCATTTTTGGAATCAAAAAAATTATCTTTATTGTAAAAATTTATCTGTCGATTCGTATTTTAAAGACAAAAGATTTCAAAAGGTGTTATACATGTGGAGCATAATCTTTTTTTAAAAAATTTATCTTTTCAAAATCTTTTTTTTCTTCAAAATTCTAGTTAACAAATGAATTTTTATAATAAGGATAAGTTTATCTTTTTGTGTTTCAAAAAATGGCTCTGAGGTACAAAACAAAAAAGAATTTTCTAAAATGTCAAGGTACTAGTATGAAATTTGTAAAAACAGAGTGTATCAAAATCAAATTTTGATATAATAAAGGGTAGCAAAATGGAATTTTCAAGATAGAGGATAAAATATTGTAATAATTATTGATATTGGGTGTCTTTAAATAAAATTATTTCAAAATTTTTTTTTTCCCTCTTGAAAGAATTTCTCAAACAATTCTACTCATGATCAGCCGCGGGATATGCTATTAGTATGTTATATGTATACACCATATATGTAAGGAATTATGTGATTGGTCATTGAATTGCTCAAAAAATATATTGGTGTTGTTACAAATTAGAGCACTCCCATGATAAAGAACTCCAAAAACAAATTTTAATTAGTATAGTGAGCGTTTATGAATATTATATGGTTAATATGATCGTGACAAAATCAAAAAATAAACTAATCTGACTAATTAAGTCTAACAAAATGATAAAATTAAAATAAAGAAGTGTGAAAATTTAAAAACATTTACTGCCGACAAGGCATTTTTCAATAACCTACGTCATGGCTAATAATTTATATCACTTAACATATGGAATACGAAATAGTTAAACTTTTGCTTGTCACTAGTAGTGACCATAATAATGTCATTTAGACTTTTATAAGTTCCCTTTTGTGGGAAATCATGCATCCCTTTCCCTCAATGGACTTTTACATTTAGTTTAGCTATTCACAATTTAATGAGGCATATTTTGTCTCCATTTTGATTGTAGAGTAGATGTTATTTCAACAGTTTCAGTTAGCTTACTTTAAAAAAAAATGTATTTTTGGTTTTTAAGCCTTAACTCCTAGCTTTTTTTCCCCCACTTCTCATCATTTAGTAAAAGTCTTGTAATTTTTTTTTTAATAAAGAGGCTATTTTGATTCATCTTTTTTTCTGAGGAGAAAGCACTTTATGAAAAAGAAAAATAAAAGTCATACAAAATTAAAATATAAGAATAATAAAAGAATAAAAATATTATGGAAACAAAACAAAAATAAAAACAAAATAGCAAAAAAGAAACCTATATGAAAACACCTAAACTTTTTTCATTTAAAATCCTTTCCATTGCAATCTCTAAGTTGGGAAGGACGCGTGACACTTTTTTTTATGAGAAATTTCATGTAATAATTAAGTCAACACGACTCTAAATAAGTCGTAAATGATCACTAAATATAATGGTATTCGATCGCGGATAAAAATTGAATCAACCAATAAAGATAAATGAGGCATGACTTTTAAATACCAAGATCTGCCAATTTTTCCAAAGAATCCGAAGCAATAATTTCTGCATTTTCAAGCAAGTATGTAAATCTTGATTTCTGGTTCATTACCCGCTTTAAGACTTTGTCCTTCATAAGAGTTTATCATCCTATTAGATCCACCAAAAATTGTCTATTAATTCTTTATGGAGCAATCCGATTGATAAACTATCACCATGTTAAGACAAGTAAGCAACTAAACCTCCAAATTGATAACATAGATCGAGACATACACCAAAGGATTAATATTTGATGATGAAGTCTCATGACGGCTATTAATTTGATTTCTCTTGCTATATAGTTTCCTCAGGGAAAAAAACAAAAAAAAAAAAAAAACAAAAGCAATGTGAACCAATTTTCAAAATATATAGACGAAATAGAAATAAAAAATATGGTTTAGTTGTCTTGTAAGTACTAATCTAATGATGGGTCCAAATCCCACCTTGTTTTAGTCATATTCTGTCCTGACGAAGGTGATGACATCACCATGTATTATAATTATCAACTTCCCATTACGAGTATTAAATGCCAAATAAGATAAATTAATCTTAACTAGTCTAAACAAGCAAGATGATAGGGTCATGACTTGAATATATATATACGTATATTCATATATATATATATATATATAATTGCTGCAGTTTTATCGTGTGGTGGTGCAGTGAACCACAATGGCAAATCAGGACTCTCAGTCTTGTTACAGTGAACCCATACAACACAGCTCAATGTCAGCCTGACCAAAGACATAAGCTTCTTTGTTTTTGGAGCCTTTTGAGTACTTAATTCCCATATTGTTCAAGGTTTCAATTCAATTATGAGAAAAGGGTCGTATTGCTAGGGAGGCGAATTAAAAATTTTATTTTCATGGTTTTGTGTTCGACAAGTTCTGAACTTAAAAGTACGTCCTTTTAATAATTAATTGAGTTAATTATTAGGGGTGAAGTACTTATCCATAGTTTCATTTAACTAAATTTAACGGATCATCAGTGTACTGATGACTGCGCAATATTGTGTCTAGTACTAATTAATTGTTTAGAAATTCAGGGATTTGTTCTACTTTCCCTTGTCTTTGAAGCGAAATAAGTTGACCAATAAATATTGGAATGTCTATCTAGCCCACTATTTTTTAAGAGTTTTTTTTTTTTTTTTGTTAAATCAGTCCTACCGGTATTATCAGTCACTAACTATTTAATCATGTTAAAATCATAATAGATTAAAAAAATATAAAATAGACAATTTTTTATATAGATTTAACGGTTAAAAATAAAAAATTACTAGTAATTCAGTTTTTTTAATCCTAGAAAAAAAAACTTCCCTTTTTTTTTTTTTTTTTTTTTTTTTTTTTAAAAAAAAAAAATTTCTATTAATTTAGTTTTTTTAATCCTAAAAAAAAAAACTTCCCTTTTTTTTTTTTTTTTTTTTTTTTTTTTAATAATATAGAGGATGAAAAGATAACATATACTATTATTTTCACCCCATAATTTCATGAAGCATCTAACTAACATGACATGTCAATTTCATCCTGACTAGTACAACACTAGATGTTTTGGGAAGAACTCGTTTAAATGTGAACTCTTCCAGATGTGATTGTTGTATCTTAGAGGAAGGATCGTCGAAAAGCCTTATATTGCACTCATTGCGACCTTTCATTTTTTTGTTCTAGCTCTCATGGCACTAATGCTTTTCTAACAAGAGTCAAACACATTAGAAAACATGGACGAAAATTTCGCCAAAATTTATTTTACTGGAAATTTCAGATTTTTTAGGGTTTCAAAATTTTTTTCCATTATAATATCAATATCGGTAAAATATCAGGAAAATATCATAAATATCGGTAAATATCAATCGAAATTTTAATATCAATTTGCATGCATATAGAGTAATTGGGGCAGAATATCGAAAAATTTCATGGAAATTTTGGTGATTTCAGAAACTAAAATTTTAAAGATTTTTTTTTAAATTTACTTTATAATATATGTTTTCTTGTATTATTTCTTTGTCATCTACCAAGGAGAGAGCGAGGAATATCAAGAACGTAAATATCTAATAAAACAATAGATGAATTTGAGTTCCAATTATTGTAGCTCTTCCGAGAGACTTCTAACGCTCATTATCCATATAATCATAATTTTAGAAACTATGATAGATATGGAATTTTTAATTATCCTCATCCGAACATAGCACCATCATCTCATGCAAACGATTGAAGGAATTCATAGTTTCTAATTCCTAAAACTATAGTAGGAAGGGATCAACAAACCTTCATGTAGAACATCTATAATTATGTTGGACATTATTCTAATAACATGTCATAATACCAATATTATTTGAATCAAGATGGAATCCCGACTATGTTTAAGCCTTATAGAACCTCCTTTTAGTATTAAGAAATGTAATATGTATGAGGTTTTCTATGTAAATCTTATTTATTTATGTATCTTTTTAATGTTGATGCTATCAAAAAATATTAAAAATATGTTCTAATGTAAATTTTCGTCATTTCCGTAAATCTTTTCAATATTTCAACCGATATCGATATTTTCTCTGATATTTCCGTAAAACTGGAGTATTGATATTTCTATCGATACAAATATTTTCATCCTTGTTAGAAAAAATATATAAAATTGCTAAACTAACATTTAGAGTGCATGAACCTAAATAAAAATTTAAATTCATATATTTTAAGAGGTATTTATCTTTTTTTTTTTTTTTAAACAAATGTGATTAATCAGCCTGATCGAGTTGCATCCCACGAGTGGAGCCCACCAATTTGCAGGGTTTGGTGGGACAACATTCCGTCGTGCAGAATAAGAGTACTCTGCTAACTATGTATCATTGGTTTCTACGATTGTGACATAGCAAAAGTATAAGATATATATGTGTGTATACATATAGCTGCACTATATATCTAGCTAGTAGCATGATAACTTCTTTACTTTTTAACTGTTTGTCGTGCAGTAGAATGACCTCAAGTACTAAACTAGACCAAACTAAACTAGGAAGAAAGGAAGTGTGATAACTATTTCAACTGACCCGTACGCACCACAAACCAGAGTACACTTCACATGGACATGTACACACATCTAACGCTATCATGGAGAACATGCCATTCATATTCATCACCCGGGTGTTGTCAGAGCTAGAATGGCAAGTCCCAGGAAAAAGGTTTTGGAACCCGTATAGAGCTGCATATCATGAGTTCTAATCGCCCATGATGTCTTTTGGTAGGACCTAGAACATTTTTCTTCATGTTTTACCCTCCCTCCCTCCCTCTCAAATTTGCCATTTTTTTACTATAATAAGATTATATTGCCAATTTACCTCGTGATTGAACTTATAGTTTTTTAACAACCTCGTAAACGTTTAATTTCGGTATTTTATCTCATTAACTTGTAAAAGTATTGCAATGTATCTCATTAATTTTACTAATTTTTTGCTACGATATTTTCTTTTTGTTAGATTTAAGGTATTGAGGGTTGAAAAATTCATTTGGTTGATGGATTTAAAATCATTATTCGAAATTATTCTCGATTTATATATAATTTTTTTGTGAGAGAAAATATTGTATCGAGTTACGAACTATGATTCAAACCATGACACGAATTCTTAAACCAAACGTACATCAAACGTACTTTTTAGTCACCAATTTAGCATAATCATTATTAAAATGGATCTCATTACAACAATTTTTACATGTTTAGAAGGTAAATTACCGAAATTTGAAGTTCATGGCTCAAGTTGCCAACACCCTCTACACTCAGAGATAAATGTGCAAAATGGTTAATATAATAATATTATTGGCACTATTTGCTAATCCATGAACTTTAAAGATATATGACTGAACCTCAGCACATGGGATAGGGATTATAAAACCCCTTAGCTAGATGAACAGACCAACAAGAACCTTATATAATAATCCCCATATCAAGGTATAATCTTTGGTTTACTGACATAACACAATTTTGTTTGCAAATCGGCATGATTAGAGATCATAATCTTGCAGGTCGGCTATGATTGCGGTAAACTTTTCTGTGAATCACAGACAAACCACAGACCAAGAAGAAACTACGTAGTGGTTTCAGCTTTGGGTATGGTTTAATTTGGTTAGTCAAATTAGTCATGAGATTCCGAGCGAAGGAACATTCATTCCTTCCTAGAACTACACGTTAGCAAATCAGGCAATGTGATGTGTCTCTTAATTTGTACGTAAAAAATGAGACTCTGAAAAGAGTCATTAAATTACTGAAGATACGCGCATTTTATATATATATATATATATATATATGACTATGTAGTCATGTATATTGTTTTTCGAACTTCAAAGTTATGTAATTTGCCCTCGTGATCCATCAATTAGAAGCTATGAAAGTTTTGATGGTGGAATTACATTTTTACAAATTCTACCTTCTATTTTTAAAAATTACATTACTATTTTAGTTTTAACAGTTAAATGTTAAATCATCTCTTATATGAATTTGGACTCTAATTATAGTGACCGAATTTTTGAAAACAGCAGATTTCAGAAAACTTAATTAGATAATAAATGTAATTTATTTTACGCAGTTCTTGAATAGTACATTCTTAAAAACCTAATTTGGTCCTTTTTTTTCCCTTTTTTACCTTATTTGCACTGTTTCTCTCTCTCTCTCTCTCTCTCTCTCTCTCTCTCTCTCTCTCTCTCTCTCTCTCTCTCTCTCTCTCTCTCTCTCTCTCCAAGTGTTTGTTTGAAACTCTAGAATCTAAAATTCCTCAAGACGGAAATCTCTCTCGACAGCCACACTTGAAGATCAAGGTCGATGCTTGCAAATCTTCATGGTGGAAAGCTCGAAAAGGGATAGACGCCAAAGATCTTCGTTGAAAGACGGCAATTTCAGAGAGAGATGTAGATTTGTGGGAGAGAAGGTTCTAGAGAGAAGATAGAGAAAGAAAACATAGAGACATAGGAAGTTGGAGGAGATAGAAAATGTTTAAAGTAAAGAGAGGAAGGACTATGGTATACTAATGGGTATTTTAAGTATTTGGTTGTGAATATTTGATTGGTATAAATATGATGTTTACTAAATGTTACAACCACGGTCAAGGAATCAAAGCGTTCGTTTGGGTGACAAGCGCCGAGGCTTCCCCGTCGAGGATTAGCTGCTGACGCCGAGGGAACTAGTGTGTCCAGAGTGCCCTTTAGACGTCGAGAATTCACGTATGCTGATGAGCGTCGAGAGCCTAGCCCAGGTGAGGGCCATGACGTCGACATCAGCCCGATCAAATCCACTGTCAGCCCAGGGGAAGATACACTGTATCACCTACCGCCACTATTGAAGTCAGGAAATCAGGCGTTGGGTAAATAGTGGTTAGCCTGACTGGGAAGCAGTAATCATGGAAATCCAGCTGTCAAATCCCCAAATTAAGGGATAGAGGATGATCTCCGCGGGAGCGTAGAGGGGGTTTCTCATATGTACAAGGCCTATAAATAGAGCCATGGCAATTCATTAAGTTTTTTACGCTCACTTCCAGACTACTACAGAACTTGTAATCTACAACATATTTGTGCATGCACAAGTGGATGTAAGCAAATAATTTTAGCCGAACCACTATAAACTCTTGTCTCATTTACTTATTCAGCATCATTAACCTCCAATTAATACGTGAGAGATTACTGCGAGTGTTCTCGGAGAGTTAATTTCTTGTTGGCTGAAATCCACCATCAACAATTGGCGCTAGAAGGAAGGCCTAAACCCAGAAATCGAATCAAGCAAAAAGCAGTGACTATGGCTCCGAGAAAGACCCGCAGCGTGACGGCAACTCAGAAAGGCCAAGAGGGCCAGAACTCGGCCCTCGGAGGAAGGAACCTGGCGAATCCGCCCAACGGTGGCCAGGAACCAGCAGAGGCACAACCCAACCGCAAGGTGCAGCTACAAGCTGCTGGAAACCCCCCAGACCGCCTTGACCAGCTCCAAAGGCAGGTTGAAACACTTGTTGTGGCTATAGAAAGGATGGCCACAACCCTCGCTAGATGGGAACAAAGGCCATATTCGATGCCGCCATTAGAGGATGCGCCGATGAACCCGGTGAACGCCGCCATTGGGAACCAAGTAATTAGTGACCGACGTGGTGACGCCGAGGGGGTTGGTGACAGTGGGGCCAACGACCCCCGCCTAGCCAGGTCGAATAGATCTGTGGGGAGCAGACAACGAGCTACTAGGATGAGACCCAGGAGAGGGCCGCAGTTGAAGTAGCAAATGACCGAGGGGTACTCCCTCGACTGCAGGAGAACATGAAAATGAGGGACGCGGTCCTAGTAGAATCCTTGTCCATACGCGGGGAAGACCTGAGGGAACGGTTGAACGCTTGATGTGAGCGAGACGTGCTGCGAACCAAGGAAGAAGAGCTTACGGCCGAGAATAAAGCTCTGGCCGAGAAAATGGCTAGACTTGAAAAGCAGATAGGGAGTCGGCTGAATAACTTTGAACAAGTTGTAGGGAAGGTAGCTGAGGCTGTAAACGTTGACGCCAAGATGTATACGTCTCACGACCACCCCTTCACAGAGAACATCATTCAGGTGCCATTGCCTGATAAATACAAGACGCCGCTTATCCCACTATATGATGGAAGGAGTGACCCAGATGACCACCTAGAAGTCTACACGGGGCACATGGTCCTATATGGATACCCCGAGGAGGTCATGTGCTGTGCATTCAGAAATCATCTCTTTGACTCTGCCAGGAGATGGTTCAGGTCCTTAAAACTGAACTCTATAACCAGCTGGGACGACTTGAAAAACGCCTTCCTGACTCAGTTCATAGGTGTCAAGAGGTACATCCCACCAAAGCAAAGCCTCTCGAAGGTGTATCAAGGACCAAACAAGTCCCTAAAAGAATGAATAGCCCGGTTCGGGGAACAGGTGGCTGCCGCCGAAGGGATCTCCGATGAGATAGCCTTGATGGGGGCCCTATCAAGCATGAAGAAGGATATCCCATACAACACAGACCTCGATCGAAAACTGCCCCAGAGCTACCAAGAATTCCTGGCAAGGGCCCAGGGATTCATTAACATAGAAGATGCCAAAAAGGCCTTAAAGAGCAAAGTGGTGGCTCCCACCTAAGAAGAGGTGGGACAGCCGAGCCAGCAAAACAACGACAAGAAGCGCCGAGGTAATCCTCAGGTGCAGGCTGAACCAAGGTATAACCCGACCCCAAACAATAAGGGTGGCAACGCCTCGACAGGGCATGGGGACACCAGGCCTGCCAAGCCACAAAAGTATGATGCCTACACCCTATTAACCATAGGGATTGAAGACGTCTATCAAAGAAGGGGGGGGCCAGCGGAGCCAGCAAAACAACGACAAGAAGCGCCGAGGTAATCCTCAGGTGCAGGCTGAACCAAGGTATAACCCGACCCCAAACAATAAGGGTGGCAACGCCTCGACAGGGCATGGGGACACCAGGCCTGCCAAGCCACAAAAGTATGATGCCTACACCCTATTAACCATAGGGATTGAAGACGTCTATCACGAGATCAGTCACCTCCAGGTACTGTGTCACCCACCGCCGCTGAAGTCTGACCCAGCACGGAGAAAGCAGAACAAGTATTGTAGGTTTCATAGCGAGAGTGGACACACGACCAATGAATGTTTTGACCTAAGGGGTGAGGTTGAGAGGTTGATCCGTGAAGGGAGGCTCAGTAAGTACCGAGCCGACCGACGGGGCAACAATAATCGGAGGAACAACGACCGACAGGAGGATCAAAGGCAAGACTAACCCCCCGAACCCGTCGGCATGATAAGGATGATCTTTGGAGGGCCCTACCTTGGCAGCGCCTCCCGCGGCGCACAGAAAGACTATGTGAGGGAAGCGAAGGAAAAATTCAACAAGAGGATCATGAGTGTATGCGGTAGGGAGTCAAAGGCCGCAAGGTTTAAAGAGGCCGAGATAACGTTTTCAGAAGCAGATGCAAACGAGCGAGGTCATGATCGGTAACCATATGGTCTGCCGCATCCTGGTGGACAAGAGCAGCTTGGTGGACATTTTGTACATTGATTGCCTCGACAAGATGGGGATCCCTCGGGCGAGACTACAGAACATCCCACAACCACTGTACGGCTTCACGGGGGATTGCGTCGTCCCTGAGGGAATGATAGAATTGCCAATAACAATCGGTGAGCGACCACATACCTCGACCGTTATGTCACGGTTCTTGGTAGTGAAGGGAGGCGACCAATATAACACGGTCATAGGGCAACCAACACTGAAGGCATTGAAAGTGGTCACGTCGATCTATCATCAAACAATGAAGTTCCTAACCCCCAGTGGAGTCAGAAGGGTCAGAGGGAACCACTACGAGTCAAGGCTCACATACGCAGAGACTGTCCGCCACTACGCTGAGCCGGGGCAGACCAGGAGAGAAATGAGGATGGTGGCAACCAAAGCAGAGGAGGTCGACCTAGACCCACGACTCTCAGATGGAGAGATAGGGACGGGGCTAGTCGAGGACTTGATAGAGATCCCTATAGACGAGAAGGAGCCTACAAGAAAATTGAGGATATGCTCAGAACTTGAAGAGCATAATCGGGAAGAATTGGTAGCATTCCTCAGAGGCAACCCTGACGTGTTTGCTTGGACCCACGAAGACATGGAGGGGATCAGCCCAGACATAATGAGCCACAAGCTCAATATATATGAAAAGTATCCCCCCAAGGGGCAAAAGCGTTGACCAATGAACACCGAGAGGTATGCAGCTTTACGGGAGGATGTCGACAAACTAATAAAAAATGACTTCATCTGGGAAGTCCTATACCCCAAGTGGGTATCAAACCCTGTATTGGTATTGAAGCCCAACGGGAAGTGGCGGACCTACGTCGACTTTAGTGACTTAAACAAAGCCTGCCCGAAGGATAGCTTTCCACTCCCAAGGATAGATCAGCTGGTCGATGCCACAGCGGGGTACGAACTCCTGAGTTTTATGGGTGCCTATTCTGGCTACAACCAGATACCGATGTTCCACTGAGACAAGGAACATACATCGTTCATCACTGACAGGGGCCTGTATTGCTACAAGGTCATGCCCTTTGGCCTTAAAAATGCGGGAGCAACATATCAGTGCCTGGTCAGTAAGATGTTCGCGGACCAGATAGGTAAAACCATGGAAGTATATGTGGACGACATGCTGGTGAAGAGCAGAAGGTCTAAAGATCATGTGGAAGACCTCAAGGGAATGTTCGACGTACTAAGGAAGTACAGGATGAAGCTGAACCCCCTTAAGTGTGCGTTCGGGGTTAAATCAGGCTAGTTCTTAGGTTTTATGGTGAGCAGTTGAGGAATCAAAGCTAATCCAGAGAAGGTGCAGGCGATCCTCGACATGAAATCACCACGAAAACTGAAAGAAGTCCAGAAGCTAACGGGTTGCATTACTGCACTCAATAGATTCATTTCAAAATCTACAGATAAGTGCATACCGTTCTTCGACACCCTGAGAGGGAGCAAGCCGTTTCAGTGGACAGAGGAGTGCGAACACGCGTTCCAGCAATTAAAGGAACATCTTGAGAAGCTGCCCCTATTGTCCAAGCCTACGGACGGGGAGGTGCTGAGCCTGTATCTGGCGGTCCTTGAACACGCCGTTAGTTCGGTGTTGGTCCGCGAAGAGGAAAAGGTGCAGCTGCCTGTGTATTACACCAGTAAGTGCCTCCTTAACGCCGAGACGAGATATCCTCAGATGGAAATGCTCGCCCTTACGTTAGTGGTTACGTCGAGAAAGCTACGCCACTATTTCCAGGCCCACAATATTCAGGTCTTGACGAATCACCCTCTCAGGCAGGTATTGCAAAAGCCCGACGCTTCTGGAAGACTCCTTAAGTGGTCCATAGAGCTCAGCCAATTCGATATTGACTACAAGCCATGGGTAGCCATCAAGGGCCAAGGCTTGGCCAACTTTGTCGCCGAGTTCACAGGATTGCCAGATGAAGTAGAGGTAGTTGATGGGCCCGCCCGATGGAAGCTCTATGTTGACGGAAGCTCTAATGACAACAAAAGTGGTGCAGGGTTTGTATTGCACACCCCAGAGGGCCACAAGATAACCTTAGCGTTAGATTCGAGTTCCCTGCATCCAACAATGAAGTAGAATACGAGGCGTTGCTGGCCGGACTCCGGTTGGTAGAGCACCTAAAACTGGGGCCCATAGACATCTTCAGCGATTCACAGTTAATCATGAACTAGGTGAAAGGCCAATATCAAACCAGGGATGAAAAAATGGCTGCCTATCTTAAGAAGGTTAAAGAGGCCCTAGAAAAGTTCTCAGCCTACGACATACAGCAGGTGCCAATGGCAGAAAACAGCAGCGCCGAGGCCCTTGCTAGGTTGGCCACCTCAAAAGACGTCGAGCTGCTCAGGCTAGTACCCGTAGAAGTCTTAAAAGCTCCCTCCACCGAGGGAAAGCCTGAAGTCCTGTCACTGAGCCACTAGCCGAGCTGGAAGGACCCAATCGTCAAGTATTTACTCGACAGTGAGCTCCCAAAGGACAAATAGCAGGCAAAAAGGTTGAGGTACCAGGCATCGTGATTCACTATACACAACGATATTCTTTATCTCCCCTTGGCCATTTGCAAAATAGGGGATTGATCTCATCGGTCCATTGCACAATACCCATAGGGGATACAAGTACGCCATTGTAGCCGTCGACTACTTCATGAAGTGGGTTGAAGCCGAGCCACTGATGACGATCTCAGAGGAGAAATGCACAAATTTTATATGGAACAACATAGTCTGCCGGTTTGGTGTACCACATTCTCTTGTATGAGACAACGGGAAACAGTTCAACAACGATAACACCAACTAGTTTTGTGAATTGCTAGGTATCCATAAGAACTTTTCCTCTATTGTATATCCCCAATCCAACAGGTAGGTCGAGGCGGTAAAAAGGATTATCAAAGTCACGCTGAAGCGTTAACTCGATAACTATAATGGCAAGTGGGCAGATAAGCTACCAACGGTCCTGTGGGCCTACAGGACAACCAGTAGGACGACCATAGGGGAAACACTATTCTCAATGGCTTATGGGGTGGAAGCGGTCCTCCTAATCGAGTTATCCATTCCCACCAGCCGAGTCATACAATATGAGGAAGATAAGAACGCCGAGCGAATGGGCTTAAAGCTCGACCTTTTAGAAGAGAGGCATATGGATGCGCAGCTAAGGCTCACCTCGTACCAAGTCAGAACAACTAGGTACTATAACAGAAAGGTCAAACATAAGCAGTTCAAAGTGGGAGACCTCGTCTTGCTAGTAGTAACCCCAAACACTAAGCCCAAAAACTCTGGGGTACTGGGCCCAACTTGGGAAGGACTTTACAGGATAAAGGAGATCGTGGCTAATGGATCCTATCGACTCGCCGAAGTAAGTGGTCGAGACATCAAACACACATGGAATGCAAACCAACTGAAGATTTACTATCAATAACGGCGAGAAAGGTTAACCTAAAGGTTACACTTAGAAATTTTTGCTCCGTTTTCCTTTGTATTTTTGCAGGCTGAAAAGTCAACATGTAAACTCTACATAAATAAAATTCCGACTGAATTTTCTACTCATTTTGATCTACTCATTTGAATTTTATCGCTTGACTGGTATCTACATAATTGAGAATCTACTATCTACGTCGACCATTATATGTCGACCACTCTTGCGTCAAAGATAAGTCATAGACTATCTTTGACGGGCGGATAGTAAGGCCACCCTAAGGCCTTTAAAGGTGGTAAAGCCCTGGCTTAACCATACTTAACCAAATTATTTTTCCGTATTTCTACGGCATCCACACACAAAATAAGCATCTGTATATAATATATATATATATATATAGAAATAAATAAATTACGTATCTCGACCTTATGGCCGTTACAGAACCAAAAATTTAATGTCTTGACGTGATGGCTGTTGCAAAAAAAAAAAAAGAAAAAACAGAGAGAGAAACAAAGAAGTCATCACGGCACTGCCCCATCCCCCGGTGCCTGCTCCGCACTCCTTGCACCTGACGCGACCTCGATTACCTCCATCTCCCTGTCATCAAATTCGTCGAGGAAAGCCAGGTCAACATCTAGGCGCTTCTTCCGGAAGCGGTCGAGAATTTGTTCCCTTGCAGACTTCATCAAGGATAGCAAAGTTCCTCGAACTCAGCAAAGTCTTGATAAGTGTCAAGCCTCTGGGTAATGAGATCCTCAAAGGCTTCCGAGGACTTGAACTTTTCCAACCGCTATTCGACGATGTCCCTGAATTCCTGGGACGACTTGAAGCTCTCGAGCCGAGCGTCGACCGAACGGTGAAACTCGTCAGAACCCAAGAATTCCTCAAGGACCTCTTTCTTCTTCTGCTTGAAGACAGACGAGGCAAGGTATGTCTCGATCTCCTTGGAGCACCTCTCGTCGAAGCCCTCCTGGAAGCTGTCTCACTTAGCCTTGTCGACCGCCTCCTCTAAAGACTTGACCTTGGCTTTCTCGATCTCTAATTCTGAGGAGAACTCGTTCCAAACGGCGTGCAGCACGAAGATCTCCTCCTCTGCAGCTCTCGATGGGATGCCCCACTTTAGCAGAGCGTCGAGCTCCACATACTTCAGGAGCGTAGCCTCAAGAGCCTAGAAAACAAAAAAGAAAAGGCGCGGATAATTATGGGCCAGTTATATAAGGGTCGAAGTTGAGGAGTGAGTAAGACTTACCAAGATTTGGCAGATCATCGCTACGTGATGGTGCTTCAGGAGATCCATCCCCGCGAACTTGTCCTA